TCCTTTCCTGGAGGCCTTCCCACAGTTTCCCATTCTAGCTGGAATTCCCATCTCATTTATCACTGCCATCCCAGGCAAGCTGCCAAAGCCTTCCTTTTGGTTTTTCTGGGCAGCTTCCTTTTCTTTCAGAAAGAAAGATGACACAGAGTTTGAATTTCAGGAAGCTCTAGACCAATCTCGAGTTATTTTTTTTTTAATTTATCCATTCAGCTTCTGATTTCTTGGGATCACTGTTGTCTCGAGTGAGAAGGAGCCTCAGAGGCCACAGGAGCATTAGTTTAGAGCCAAAGTGACTTTTGACATCATCAAATCAGTCTGATGATTGTCTGCCTTATGGATGGACCCCTTCACAGAATCATGTTGTTAAATGTATCAAATAAAACATATAGAATTACAAAGAAAACCAATTATATTGAAATACAGTTCTTAAAATATTAAAACTAAACAAGGTCATGGACTCTAGCAAAAGAGGGAGCATGCAGCCTGGAGTCAGGAAGACCTGAGTTAAAATTTGACCTCAGATATATACTAGTTGTGTGACCCTGGGCTATTCATTTAACCTCTGCCTGATTTAGTTTCTTCAAATGGAAGGTGGGGTAATACACCACAACTATCAGACTGGCCAATATGACAAAAGAGGAAAATGATAAATGTTGGAGAAGATGTGGGAAAATTGGAACTTTAATGCATTGTTGGTGGAGTTGTGAACTGATCCAACCATTTTGGAGAGCAGTTTGGAACCATGCCCGAAGGGCTATAAAAATGTGCATACCCTTTGACCCAGCAATAGCACCTCTTGGGCTGTATCCTAAAGAGATCACATAAATGGGAAAAGGACCCACATGGACAAAAATATTTATAGCAGCTCTTTTTGTGGTGGCAAAGAATTGGAAACTGAGAGGATGCCCATCAAATGGGGAATGGCTGAGCAAGTTGTGGTATATGAATGTAATGGAATACTGTTGTGCTATAAGAAATGATGAGCAGGTGGACTTCAGAAAAACCTGGAAAGCCTTGTGTGGACTGATGCTGAGTGAAGTGAGCAGAACCAGGAGAACGCTGCACACAGTAACAGCCATGTTGTGTGATGACTAATATTGACAGACTTAACCCTTCTCAGCAATGCGAGGATCTCCAAGGGCCTCATAATGGAAAATGTTATCTGCATCCAAAGAGAGAACTATGGAGTCTGAATGCAGACGGAAGCAGACTGTTTGCTCTTTTTTTCTTCTGTTGTGTTTTGTTTCCTCTTTCTGGCGGTTCCTCCTATGGGTTCCAATTCTTCCTTACAACATTACTAACGTGAAAATGTTTACTAGGAATGTGTATGTAGAGCCTGTATCAGATTGTGCGCCATCTTGGGGAGGGGGGAAGGGGAGAAAAATTTAAAACTCAAAAGCTTATAGAAGTGATTGTTGATAAATCAAAATCAATTAATAAAGTTTAAAAAAAAAGAAAATGGGGTAATAATAGCACCTACTTCCCAGGGCTGTTGTGAGAATCCAATCAGATAATATTTGCAAAAAATGAAAGGGTGAAAGAAAGAAAAACAAAGAAAGAACGAGAAAAAGGCTTAGTGCAATGCCTGGCACACAGTAGGCGCTATATAAGTGCTTCTTTCCTTCCTCCCTTCCACCCATCCTCCTGGGAGGTAAATGCTATTATTATCCCTATTTTATTGATAAGGACAATAGATAGAGGCAGAGAAAGGTGAAGTGCCTTGCCCAAGGTCACACAGTCTGAGGCCCAATTTGAAGCCAGGTCTTCCAAACTAACACTCTGTCAACTACACCCTGTTCCCTCTCAGCGGCAGGCAACTTTCACCTGTCTGTCTGTCTGTCTGTGTTAAATACAGCCTGGTAAAGTCACAGCCCGTCCAGAAACAGAGTAGGCTTGATCTAAGACAGGAGGCTCCTCTCTCCTCCAACAAGCCTGTTTAAGGAATTATTGTTCACTCTTCATGACACACAGCAAAGAGCCCGTGATAATACCACCACCTAGGCACCCTGGGATTCATCTAACGCCTTTATATAAATAGGAGCTGCTTGTTTATGTAAAGGACTTAATTTAAGTACGGCACCTAGGGCAGGGCCCAGGATGGGAGGGGCTAGAAGAAGGCAGACCGAGGCAGCCCTAGGGGAGTGGACCCAAAAGAGATCCTGAGGAGGTCCAGAGAGAAGCAGGAGCAAAGCGAGGCTAAGACCAGTGAAACGATTGTTCTGGGGTTACATAGTTAACAAGTAAGTGATACAGGATCTAAATGCAGGTTTTCCTAACCCTAAGTCCAAAGCTTTATCCAATATGCCACACTGCCTCTCTAGGCAGATAAATGCCCAAACAGGTTAAATCACCAGCCACATAGCCTCGCCTCTGAGACTCTTGTGATGGATACGTGCGCACGCGCACACACACACACACACACACACACACACACACACACACACACACACACACAGCCCCCCCCCCAAGAATTTCACCTCAGTTCCCATAAAGCTCCAGAGTCAGAAACACTGAATCAAAATGACAAGAGATATTGTTTGTATCGCCCAAGTGAGCCCAGTGTTCTGGTAGAACAGAAAATACCTTGGGCTCTTGGAGCTGGTAATGTTTTCCATTAGCACCAGAAAACAGCTTCGTTTTTAACCCCAACCAACTTATCCAATTAACTCAGCACCACTCAGCCCTGGCCATCACCTGGTGGGCTGGACACCCAGCCCTGGGCAGCCAAGAAGGGTTTTGGGATCCTGGGACAGGACCCGTGGCTGTGGGGCCAGCCAGGGAGGGGCATGGATAAGGCTGCACCTGAGCAAATGCCTTCTCAATTCTCTCTCCTTCCATGGGTAGGTCCCTGACCTGGCTGAGAATGAGAGTCTGGGCCTAGAAGGTCCCATCATCCCTGATCTGGGAGGCTAGGGTCAGTCTGGGACTTACCCAAGAGTCAGGCTTCAGGGAGCTCCAGTGGTATCACACCCTTCAAGTCTCCATGCTGACATAACACTTAGCTCCACCCCTAGGGGAAACCTCTTTCCCAAGTACACCAGTATACTTTCCTCCCCACCCCTCAACCAAATTTGCCCATAATGCTCAAATTCCTAGTCACAGCCCTGACTAAAGACTATTTCAGACCTAAAAGGAGGGATCAAGAGCTGGTAGGGATCTCAGATGAACCCTCAGAGGCCATTTAATCTAACCCTCATGTTTTACCCATGAAAAGACGGTGCCTCAGTGGAGGTTAGGGAATTTGCTTAAGGTTGGTCACATAAGCAGTAAATGGCGACTGGGTGGATAAAGCACAAAACCTGGAGTCTAGAAGACACGAGTGCAAATCCCACTTCAGATACATCCTAGCTGTGTGACCCTGGGCAAGTCCCTTAACCTATCTGCCTCAGTTTCCTCATCTATAAAATGCAGATAACAATAGCCCCTACCTCCCAGGTTTGCTGTGAGAATCAAATTAAATAATTTTTATAAATTGTTCTGCAAACTTTAAAGAGCTATAAGTGCTCGCTAGGTCTGCCTGGGACACTCACCCTCTTCTACACCATCTACTGACCTGCCTAATTTCCTTAAAGTGCCAACTAAAATCCTTTCTTTTACTGGAAGCCTTTCCCCAGGCCCCTTTTATTCTAGGGCATTCCCTCTGGTAATTATTTCCTATTTATCCTGTGTAGAGCTTGCTTTGTAAATATTTGTTTGCATGTTGTCTCCCCATTTAGATTGTAAGCTTCTTAAGGGCAGGGACTGTCTTTTGCTTCTTTTTGTATCCGCAGCACCTAGCACAGTGCCTGGCACTTAGAAATAAATGTTTATTTATCCTCCTTCCCTAAATCTCTGGTTCAAAGTTGAGTGCTTAACCTACCTCCCATTTTGGTCCCTGAGAGAACAAATTATCCCTCTAGGAAGAGAGAAGGATAGATTTTCAGAGCAGCCACCAAGGAAATGTCAGGTATTTGTACTGGTCATAAAAGAATGTTCCCTTCTCAGCAGGGAAGTCACTTTAACCTCTCTTTGCCTCAGTTTTCTCATCTGTAAAATGGAGATAATAATAATACTACCCCCTTCCAGGGTGGTCGAGAGGATCAAATGAGATAATATTTGTAAGTGTTTAGCACGGTGCCTGGCACATATTAAGCATTTGATAAAGGCTTGTTTTCTTCCTTCCTTCTTCTGCATTTATTACTGACCAAATGAATACCATAGGGCAGATCTGACTATGACTTCATCCCCCTTATGCCACTACCCCAGGCCAGTCAGAGCTCACAAAGTAGTGTGTTTGGAACTACTGGTCTACATACGGTCTTTGGTCAGTTTTAAGTTGTGTCCAAGTCTTCGTGACCCCATTTGGGGTTTTCTTGGCAAAGATAGTGGAGTGGTTTGCCATTTCTTTCTCCAGCTTATTTTACAGATGAGGAAACTGAGGCAAATAGGGCTAAGTGACTTACCCAGGGTCACCCAGCTAGTAAGTGTCTGAAGCTGGATTTGAACTCAGGAAAAAAAGTCTTCCTGACTCCAGGCCCAGCACTCTAAGCACTATAGCGCCACCTAGCTGCCCAAAGTTACAAAGGGGTTAAGTGTCTGATCTTGGGATTCAAACCCAGGTCTCTGACTCTAAATCCAGCCTTTTCCCACTAGACTCCTGTCCTTGATATTAGAAGCTCATGAAGGCCTTTAGGGAAAATAATGAGAATGTGCTCATGCTAAGAGTTCGAAAGAAGGAATTGGTTGGAGTGGGGGAAGAACAGTGAGCCAGAGCAGCCAGGCAATGGTAGAAATGGTGGCCCCAGAGGTAGAGAGGGAATCTGGCAGGTGGGAAAGGCACAGCCAGACAGGTGAGTGACAGGACAATCTAGATGGACAGCCAGGCGGGGAAGGGATAGGGAGCAGTGTGGAAGGGCGGCAGGCAGGATTGGGTGAGAGGAGATGAGCTTGGGGAGCCAGGCAAGGAAAGGGACTTAACAAGAAGCCAGTCCTGTGAAACGCCAGCAGCCCAGGGTACTCACTTAAGCATTGCAGCCCATTCCGATTGAGCAGGGGTTTGCCACACAGGGAGCAGTTGATACAGCTGGAGAAAGTCCCTGGCACTAACTGGTGACCATTTGTGCTTCTCCACTTTTCCCTCAGCTCTATCTCTTTCTGTTGGTCTTTGTTCTTACCCTGAGAAAGAAGGAAGGAAGATCTTAGAACTGCCAGAGAAGCATAGTTTTAGAGCTGAGTTACCTGTATTTTAAAGATGAGGAAACTAGGGAAGCTGATGGTGTAGCAGACAGAACACTGAGTCTGGAGTCAAGAAGACCTGGGTTCAAATTTATGGAAGGGGCCCTTTAAGTCATCCTGAGTCATGTATATATCATATAATTTCATATCATATCATAGATTTTGAGTCAGAAGGAACTTGAGAGGTCATTATATCCCTTTCACTTTACAGATAAGGAAACTGAAGACCAGAGGGGTTGTGGCTTGCCCAAGGACACAGAGTCAGAATTTGAATCCGTGTCCCTGGACTCTAGATCCAGAGTTCTTTGTATCTGATCACACTGAGAACAGCCTTAGCAGAATACAGGGACCTGAGGGCAAAAATACCCACAGGGCAGACCCCCTATTAGACCCTTAGGGTGCTTTCTGGAGATTGAGCTGGGGGAGCTACCTAAGGGGCAAGGATGTGAGAGGACATGGGCAGCTCCCATCAGAACCTGGACAGCTCATGCCCAGTTCTGGCCAGCATACTCCCAGCTGACACCCAGTTCCAGCTGGGTGATGGAGCCAGGTTTACCATCCTCACCTTATCCTTCTGCCAGGAGCCAGTGACTCGACTTCTCAGGGAGCTCAGCCTTCGTTTCACCTTGGTTCCCTTTTCACTCTTTTCACTCTTCCCATCATCTTCCTTCCTGAAGCGGGATCCCCAACACAGCCCAGGTCAGGGGATCAGAAAAGCCCAGGAGGATCAGGCCAGGGAGATTTGGCTTGGTTTCACCCCCGACTGGGTCAGTTCCTCTACTTCCAGCTCCTTGGGCTGGAGCCTACAGGCTCTCCCCAGAGTCCATTAGAACAGCATATTCCTAATTCCCTAAAGCTGGTGGGTGTCTCACCTCCCCACTTCCCCTGTCCTTGGTTAGAACTTCTTGTGATACCAGGCTCATCCCCAAAAACATTCTCCCACAGACCCCCCATGCTGCAAAGCCAGCTGTGAACTACAGCCATTAGCATTGGCCTCCTCCTGGGAGTTCTTCCCAAGCTCGACTGGGGCAAGATCTCCCCCCACCCCCTCACATACTCACTCACTGGACAGGAACTCAAACCAAGTTATGTTCTGCTGGGAATCCCTGGGGTCATCCCCTAAGTGAGCCCTTTGCTTCGCCCTGTGCAGGTCAAACAGAATAGCTCAACTCAGCACCTTTTAAGGAAAGCCTTAGATTCTACCAGTCCTGGGCAACATTGCCCTGGTCAGCGTCAATTTGGGTCTGTTGCATACATCTGCTCAAACACAGACTGGGGCTCACCTGTCCTCCTTTCTAGATATCCAGCAGGCAGGATGCCCACAGCTTTCCAGGTGTGTAAAGCAATTCGTCCAGGTCTGAGCTGCCTGACACCTCCTCTACTTCCTCACTTGGAAACACCCTGCCTGGGCCCTTCCTTACCCTCCTGACTCTGCTTTTGAATCTCAGGACTTTACCACCATGCCCCAGTGCCTTTCACCCTGGAGCTTCCTTCAGTGCCTGGGACTTTCTCTGCCCATGAAGCCCTCTCAGCCTGGATTATCCCTCTGTCATACCAGTGTCCTTCTCCCATTGGTGAATTCCTCCCAGGAGCTGCCATTTGGGGAAGGAGCTCAGGCTGGCCAAACTTCATTCCCCTCCTGGCTCTACTTCTAAGTATCTGGGCTTCCATACTGTGCCCCCATGGAGGCACCTTCCCCCTCTTGTCAGCTCCCTTTTGTGCCTTTTCTCCCATTAGAATGTAAGCTCCTTGAGGGCAGGGGCTGTCTTTCCTATGACTCTGGGACATTCCCCTAAAAAGATCCCACTCATTCTTCAAGGCTCATCACCTCCTCCTATTTCCTCCTTTCAAATACCAGGGAGCCTAGATGAGTTCTAAATTCTCTAGCCTCACATTCCAGGAAAGTCACATGAGACTTCTGGGCAGTCCCTGATCTCTTCCTGCCTTCCCCAGACCCCATGCATTTGTTCAGGCTGTGTGACATGCATGCTGTGGACTCCATCCTCATGTCTGCCTGCCCAAGCTCCTCTTCTTCCAAGGCCCAGCTCAGGTACCACATCCTCCAGGAAGCCTTCTCTGATTCCTGCCAGCTAAAGAAGATCTTTTATCTCTCCTCAAATGTTTCCAAAAGTCCTTTGCCTGGATCTTTCCTTGGTCCCCAGTATACTTTCACTTGGGCTAGGCTTACTCCTGTATGGGACATAAGCTCGTAGAAGGCATCTCTGTATCCCAAATACCTAGCATGGAGCCTGGGTATGGAGGGGGCACTTAAAAAATATTTACTGAAATAGAAATGGAAAGAACCACACAAAAAATTTAAAAATGTTATAAAACAATAATGAACTGACTAACATGGAAGAATATTTTGCATGACTACACAAGTATAACCTATATCAAATTGCTTGCCTTCTCAATGGGGGTGGGGTGGGGAGGGAGAAAGAAAGAGAATTTGGAACTCAAAATTTTTTTAAAAAACAATGTTAAACAATTGGTTTTACATGTAATTGGGGAAAAATAAAATATTAAATTAAAAAAAAACCCATAATGAACAAGCATGATTCAAAAATAAAGATAGGAAAAGACACTCCTACCCACCCTTTGGCAGTGGGGGGAAGTCCACAAGGGGTGTACGCTGTACAACTTTTTGGACTTTCTTGATGCATTGATCAGTTATGTGGATTTTTTTACTCTTTGTTTTTCTCTTTAAAAACACTATCTGTTATATGGGATGATTCTATGGGGAGGAGGAGAGTACTGGAGAAATTATGGAGATAGATAAAAACCTAAGACATCAATGAAAAATTAATTTTTCAAGAAAGAGAAAATTGTTGAATGGAACTGAATTCCAGTTTTGATATTCTAGAGCCATAGAAAGAATACTGGAATCAGAGTCAAAGGATCTGGGTTCAAATTCCAGCTGCGCTGCTTGCTTACTACATGTGTATGGTCCTAAGTTTCCTCAACTGTAAAATGAGGGGGTTGAGCCAGATGATGTCCAAGGTCCTTTCCAGCTCTAAATCTACATTTCCTGCAAGGTCTTTCCATGTGACCAGATGACTTCAGCCTGCAGAGAGCAATCTCCCCCTTCTCTGAAATCCAGCAATGTTGAGTCTACCCCGTAAGGCTTAACTTCTGATCATATATTACAAATGTTCTCTAACTTTTTTATATAGGATTATAGTGATTTAGAACTGAAAGAGACTGTTGAGGTCATTCCCATTTTGCAGATGGGAAAACTGAGGCCCAGAGAAGGGAATTGACTTGCCCAGGGTCACACATTGAAATAGTCTCAGAGTTGGGTTTAGAACCCAATGACACTCATTTACAAATACTGACTAAGGGCACATACTAGGTGCCAGGGGCTTACAGGGGATCCAGAGATGTAGGAGAACCAGTCCCTATCCTCATGACCTTCACTGTCTAATTTGATGAGATGAGACACATCTATAGAAACCTGAATAACATTATGAGGCCTTATGCGAGTAAGTTTCAAATAACTGGTATCAATAGGTATAAGGAAGACAGTTGCTGAGGATGGAATAATCCTGGGAGGGCTTCATGGAGGAGGTGAGACTGGAGAGCTGAGCTACATTGTGAAGGACGGGCAGATCTGAAGAGGCAGAGAGAAGGGGGAGATCCCAAGTGGGCAGCTAGCATGAGCAAAAGCACAGAGCATGTGCCGTGGCAAGCGGTGAGAAGAGCAGCCTGATCCATGCCCATGGAGCTCTAGGCTGGGCACAAGGTGGGCTCAGGGAAGATATGCTGAGCTGATGTCAGGCCCCTTTGAGCTCTAACTAGATGATCCTATGTTGTGACTCAGAAACAGAAATCATAGGATGTTAAAGCTGGAAGGAGCCTTGGAATCACCCAGCCCAATCCCCTCATTTCACAGATGGAAAAACTGAGGCCCAAAATAGGGGAGGGACCTGCCCAAGGACAGACACACACACACACACACACACACACACACACACACACACACACACACACACACACACAAAGTGAACTAGTGGTTAAGCTGCGAAGCTGAGACTTGACCTGGCTCCCAAGCCTCAGCATCCTTTCCATTGCATTCTGCTAACCATAGCTCAGAAAACAAACAAAAAGTCCTGAGCATGAACTAGGGTCAGGTCACCTCCAAATTCTGGGTCATCTTCTCCCTGGAGGAGCCTAGCAGGGCACTAGCCTTAGGTCCGGGGGCCTTAAGAATCCTGCCATACTCACCCATGGTACTGCTTGAGCTCTTGAAGGACTTGCTGGACAATTAAGCTAGAGAGAGATACAGAGAGAATGACACACATTGTTTATTCCAAGTGATGCACCATATGGCTAATGTGGAAGTATGTTTTACGTGATCTCATGTGTATAATTGATATCATATTGCTTATCTTTTTTTTTTGAGGCAGTTGGGGTTAAGTGACTTGCGCAGGGTCACACAGCTGGTAAGTGTCTGAGGCTGGACCTGAATTCAGGTCATGCTGATTTTAGTGCCAGAGCTCTATCCACCAGGTCTCCCAACTGCCCCTGCTTGCCTTTTCAATGGGTAGGAGAGGGGCTGGAGGGAGGGAGAGAATTTGGAACTCAAAAAATTTTTAAATGAATCTTAAATTTTTTTTTATTTATTAAGTAAATAAAGCATAATTTTCTAAAAGTGATACTTAAGACTTGGGGTATCTGATTCTATGTACTTTGGAGAGTTGAGTTTATGTGTGTTTGTGTGTATCAATCAATCAAGTATGTATTAAGGACCTATCACGTGCCAACCGTTGGACTTGGTGCTGGAGATACAAAGAAAAAAAAAGAAACATTGCCTGCCCTCAGAGAGCCTACATTTTATCAGAGGAATATGAACATAAGAATATGTGCAAAATAAAAAAAGGTGGTTGTTGCTGAGTCCTTTCAAATGTGTCGTGACCCCATTTGGGGGTTTTTTTGGGGAAGATGCTGGAGTGGTTTGCTATTTCCTTCTCTAGCTCGATTTACAGATGAGGAAACTGAGGCCAACAGGGTTAAGTGACTTGCCCAGGGTCATATAGCTAGTAAGTGTCTGAGGCCAGATTTGAACTCAGGAAGATGAGCCTTCCTGATTCAAAGCCCAGTGCTCCATCCACTTCTAAATAAAGACATTTGTAAATAAATACGAGGTGAGGGGGTGAAGCACTAGCAGCTGGGAGAGGGGATGGAGACATCAAGAAAGTCCTTGAGTTGAGCTTTGAAGGAAACTGAGGAGGGCATTCTAGACACAGGGGACAGCTTGGGCAAAGACATGGAGATGACAGCTGGAGAAAAGTGCATGAGGAATGTGTGTCTGGGTCCCTGTATGTGCCTATGTCTTTGTGTCTGTGCTCATGGTTTCTGCCCCCTGTGTCCTCTGAGCCTAAAGCCTCAGGGGTCAGGTTGGAAATTTCATTAGGGATTACCCTAGTGTCTGATTGAGACGCTCAGGTGTCTGTTTCTTTAAAATTTTTGTATCGATATTCATTAGATAAATTGGTCTATAGTTTTCTTTCTCTGTTTTGGCTCTTCCTGGTTTAAGTATCAGCACCATTTTTGACTGCTTGAAAAAAAAAAGTTTCTTCCCCTGTAGAGTGACAGGGATAAGATGAGGGATTCATGGTACATGGTATATCAGAGTTGGAAGGGGTTATAGGGATTATCAGTGTACTGTCTTTACTTGATGGGAGATTAAGCAAACCAAGGATGTTTGTTGAGTGACTGACTGACTGAGAGGAAGGGTCTTGCCCATGACCAAAGATCACATTAGAAAATGGAAGTTTAGGGGCAGCTAGGTGGCGAAGTGGATAGAGCACATGCCCTGAAGTCAGGAGGACCTGAGTTCAAATCTGGCCTCAGACCAAACACTTGACACTTAATAGCTGTATGACCCTGGGCAAGTCACTTAACCCCAATTGCCTAAAAATTAAAAAAGAAAAAGAAAATGGAAAATTAGTTATGAAGGGCCAATAAGTGGTTTACTGCCTCTCCACCTCCTTTTTCCCCACCCAAATTCATCTTGTCACTTGGGCAGGCAGAACACAGCTCCAGCCTCAGGTGCTTTCCTCTCCCCTTCTTGCCTCTGGACTACTGTAAAATCAGGGGTACTCACACATGATCAGGGGACACGTGGTCTTTTTCTGCTCTTTCCAGCATAGGGGGTTCAATACCTAGAATAGAACACCAAATAAACACAAAACACAGAGGAATAAGATTCAGGCTCCCAAGATCTAGACCTCACCAGAGCCACCCACTGCCCACCCTGTGTGGGGCCAGTACTGAATGTTGCTGGCCCCTGGTAAGGTGAGGCATATGGCTGTTTGTGACCTGACCCCCTGCTTAGCAACTCTTGTCATGAGATGGGTGAAAGTAAGTGAAAGTCCTTGGGGCTTCTGGCAAGAGAAAAAGTGAAACATGAGAGCAAATAGAAGAGAGAAAAATCAGGCAGAGAAACAGAGGTACGTGGGAATCCCCAGGAAGGGAAGGTGCACAGGAGAGGCAGACACAGCCAGAGACAGACTGAATGGCAGAGAGAAAAAGGAAGGGACCTAAAATGAGCTTCAGAGGGAGACTAAGAGAGCTGTAGTGGGTGAATGTGGGGGAGTTCCCCATCAGCTTGATGAGGGTGGGGAGCCTTTCTTCAAGACTTTTCCCTGTGACCTTCCTATGGGCCAGCGGCTCTTACCTTTTTTGTCACGGACCCCTTGGACAACCTGGTGAAGCCTATGCATCCCTTTGCAGAATCACGTTTTTAAATGCATAAAATAAAATACTTAGGATTACAAGGGAAACCAATTATCTGGAACTAAAGATATAATTTTTTTTTTCCATTTGAGTTCATGGGTCTTCTGGAAATCAAGCCATCCTCCGACCTGGGTTCAAGTCTCACCTCTGACACCTTACCTCTGATGAACCCTGGGCAAGTCACTTAATTTCTCAGTGCCTCAGGCAGCTTTCTAAGACAACAAATTGCATTACTTGCATTAGGAGAGGGAGTTCCCTAAGCCCAGTGAAATCACAGGTCCAGGCCCTGTCCCCTAGGGAGGATTTGGACAAGCCCCTTAGCTTCATAGAAGCTCATGGAAGATAGGTCTGTGATCAAAGATGGGCTGGTTGGCTTGGTTCATGATGGGAGGAGCTGTCCCTCAGTTGCTGGTCTCTAAAAAAGGGAGTTTTCCCATCAAAGGACTTTTTCTATGTTCTTCCTTTTGGAGGACTTATCACTGCTTCAGAGCTGACCTGGGTCCTAGGAGGAGCTGTTTCTCTCCAGGACTGGTGAATGTCATCATGGGATCTGCCCTAAGAAGAGAGTTCTAGACTACGGCCACAGCTAGGGAAAGGAGGATCTTGGGAATCCCTTAACTGCAGCTTCTTATATAATGGAGACAGGAAATTTTCTGGCCAGTATGACCCTAGAATCTAGCCTTCTAGGGACAGAAGATTATTTTTACTGGGTAGCACCAGACTCAGGGTTGCCTCAATGGCCACCCAAGTTTTAAAGTTCTAGAATCCAGTCCTCTAGAGAGAGAAGGGGTACTTTGTGGTCAATACCACCAACTCCAAGTTCTCTCTCAAATAATTCCAAGTTGTAGAGTTTGGGATTCAACTTTCTGGTGAAAGAAATGGAGTTCCTGAGCTGTGCCAACCTCTTGGAGAGAGGAGGGTTGGGCACTTGACCCTTCCAAGAGAGTAGAACGGCAGGGGAGCCATCACATGGGAGAGCAAAAGTCCTGCCAGCAAGGTGATGGAAGTGGCTAGAATGCTAGCCTTGCAGTCAGGAAGACCCAAGTTCAAATCTGGCCTCAAAACACTTGAGAGCTGAGTGATCCTGGGCAAGCCATTTAACCTCTGCTGGCCTCAGTTTCCTCATCTGTAAAATGGGCATAATAATAGCACCTACCTCCTAGGGTTGTGGTAAGGATGAAAATGAGATAATATTTGTACAGAGCTTTGCAAACCTCAAAATGCCACATAAATGCTAGCTATTCTTATTATAATTTTGCCCTCTGTTAATACGAATTGTCTGAACAGCACAAGTCCAGTGAGAAAGGGACTTGCTTCTCTAGCAATTCCAAAGGCTGATTGGTTTGTTTTTTTCCTTTATGGGAGAGTTCAAGTTCCCATAAGTCTAGACGCCCCTATAGGCTGCTGGGGTTAAAGGGAGACTCCCTGAAATAATAATGAAAATAGTCGGCATCTATATAGCACTTAAAGATTTGAAAAGCATTTTATAAATATTATCTCATTTGACCCTCACAGAGACCTAGGGAGACAGGTGCTGTTATTTTCCCCATTTTATAGATGAGAATACTAAGGCTGAAAAAAACTAAGCGACTTGCTTAGGGTCACATCACTAGTATCTGAGGCGGGATTCCCCACTTAGGACTTCTTGACTCTATCCCCTGGCCCTCCTAGCTGCTGCGTGTCAGAGAATTTCCTCCCTAGGAACCCCAAGGGAATATGAACTACGATACTTGAGTCTGGAGGATTTGGGACCTCAGGAAAAGGTGGGACTTACCAGAGAAGGAGAAGTGTTTATGAGCTGCTATTTCTCTATGGATTTTCCTCATTTTTTGTGGAGATTAAATTTGGGCTATCTTATGCCTGATAAAAGCATTACTACTTGAATATTTGTGGGAGGCCTGAGACCCAATCTGTGGACCTCCCTAGAGGTGAGATATTTTTAGGGTACATTCTAAGATTTTCCAAAGGGAAGTCTGGGTGAGGACCAAATGAAGCAAAGAGAATGAGAATTTGGAGGTACCCTCAAGATCAAGTCCAATCTATGGAAAGCTTGGAGTGTTGGGTTGCAGGTTACACACACGGAGAAAGAAAGAGAACCGCCCACCCCCCAAAGAAACAATACAGAAAAGGAAACAGAGAGAATCATCTGCACAAAGAAAGAAACCAGGCAGAGCCACATAGGCATGGACACATATACAAACACAAAGGACAGACAGAATGAGTGATACACATGCAGAGAGAGACAGGGGAAATAAACAGAGACAGATGTAGATGAAAAAGGCTAGGAAAAGGGGAAAGGAGGGATCCCAGAACCACAGGATTATGGTTTAAAAGTGATTAAAGGTGCCCAGAGACAGCCACACATAGTGCCCCTGGAGTGTTGGGAGATGGGGAGGCAATAGTGGAAGGAGAAGCAATTCCTCTGTGTGTCCCTCCTTCCTCTGTGAACAAGCATCTGGTCCCTGAACAGCCAGATCCTGAACATGATCAGGACAGCTGAATGGAATTTCTACCCAGCCACACATTTCTTCAAATCCAAGCATCTGGGATGCCCTTCCCCCTAGGCAGCCTGTCTTCCCTGAAAGGGCTGAGGAGTGTCCCACTGGGGCAGGGCTGACTACATCCTCCTTAGGTAGATAATAATTTTTTTTTAAATAGGGGGCCAGGAGCTGGAATGACCAACTTTGGACCAAACCTGGGGCCCTTACTCTCACCCTCTGTCAAAGAGGAAGTCCCTTGGGCTTCCACTCTCTGGTCTTGCCTGTGGGAAAGGGACAGTTTACAAATCGGTGGGTAGAGGGAAGGAAGCCTGAGTCAAGGCCACGTTGCAGAGAATGTCCCCTGAGGGACACTCCCTCTCCTCCAGTAGTGCAAAACAAACCTTGGGCAGCTGGAATGGAAACCTCCAGGTTCTGAGCGATTCTTGAGGAAGAAACCATATCACCAGTTTGAGGAACAGACCTTGACCTCAGCCTCTTCCAAGAGCTGTCAAATTCCTGCAGGAGTAAGGTATTTCAGTGAAGAGAATCAGGGGCTGAAAAAAGAATCTCAGGATGGAAAAAGCCTTGAGAGGGAGAAGTGTCTTAGAGAGCACCCAGCCCAAACTCTTCTTGCTACCGAGCAGGAAACTGTGACCCAGAGATGGGAAGGAGACACTCGCTCAAGGTCCCGTAGCAAGGCCAGGGTACTTGGAGAAGCTATCAGGTATCCTTGGGGCAAAGGCCCAGGCCCCAAAAGTGTAGCTGATTCAGCAGAGTCCAGTGCTCTCCAAGACCCCTTTCTAACCTATTCCCGGGCTATGGTCTAAAATTAAAGATGGCGGCATCCACAAAATCTCAATGACATTCAATGGGTGGAGTCCACCTGGAGAGACCTTGTGGGGAAGAGGACCCAGTCTGATCCAGAGTTTGATGAAGGGGTAGGCCCAGAGAGGCTTTTTATACCAACCCCAACACCAGCACCCTGACCAGACCCCTAGCATTAGGGGTATAAGATATATGTGTTTAACAGAATTATACTGAAGGAAAGTTCCCTCCTACAGCTTAGTTTTCATGTCTCTTTCAATTATGAAATTCCATGATCCTTGGAAGCTATTATAGTTATTAATAAACATTCATTAAGTACCTTCTATATACAGAGAGGCAGTGTGGTTCAGTGGATAGAGAACCAGCCTATAAGTCAGAAGCCCTGGTTCAAATCTTGCCTGTGACTCAAATTGGCTATGTGACCTGGGCAAGACTTCCCCCCTCAGTGCCCTCAGGCAACTCTCCAAGACTATAAATTGGGGAAAGAGTGCTGATATGGTAGAAGGAATTTCCCCACTGGAAATTACCTACGCTAGCCAAATCACAGGTCAGGGAACAAAAATGTGCACTTTGGAACTAGAGGAGATGTAAAGTCTAAATCCGTCACCTCCTCACTCTCCTGGAGTTCCTAGTGTAGCTTACAGTAGGAGACAATGGCTGATGGAATCATGGCACGGTTATTTTGCCCAAAGATTCATTCCCTTGATCACTGGCAGTCTGGGAGAATATACACAATGAAATGGGGATCTGAGGAAGTATCCAAGGGGAGGGAGATGAAGACTGGATATCAGAGGCCTTTAATTTAACTCTCAGCCCCCACAGGAATCACAGAATCTCACAATTCGAAGGGAATTTGGAGACCAGCTAGTCCAACCCAGAACTAAAGAAGAATCCCTCCTACAACCTCATTGACAAATGGCCATTCCTCCTCTGCCAAAAGACCTCCATTGAAAGGGGAATCCAATCCCTTTGGAGGCAGCTCAGGCCACTTTTGGGCGGCTCTAATTATTAGGAAGGTTTTCCTTACATGGAGTCAAACTCTGCCTCTCTGCATCTGCCTCCACTTCCTCTCCTTTCACTCTCTTCCAAACCCAATGCAATCCAGCTTCCAAGCTCATCCTTCAACTGGAACTGCTCTTTTCAAAATTACCCGTGATCTCTTAATTGTCAGATCTAATGGCCTTTTCCCAGTCCTCATCTTTCCTGACTCCCCTATAGCCCCGGACAATGTCTATTCTCTCTTCTCTCAGTAATCGTCTCCTTTCTGGGTTTTGCATCACTCATTTCTTTCGGGTTTTCCCTGATATCTGTCTGACCAATCCATTTCACTCTTCACTTGCAAGATTTCCCCCCATGCCACATCCCCTAACTGGGGGTACTCCTCTGGGCTTTGTCTTCCTCCCTCTTTCCTTCTTCACACTCCATCACTTGGGTGATTTCATCAGCTCTCACAGATTCAATTGTCATCTCTATGTAGATGACTCTCAGATCTATATAACCAGCCCCAGTCTCTCTCTTGACCTCCAGTTTCACATTGCCAGCTGCCTATTGGATATTTAGAATAGCATGTCCAATACTCAAATTCAACATATCCAAAACTCATTTCTTCCCCTCTCCCAGCCCAGGTGGGGCTTCTGAACTTCCTTATTTCTAGGAAGGGTACCACCATCTTTCCAAATCACATAAGATCAAAACCTCAGGGAGAGAAGGGTGAGAGGGAGAGGAGGAGTGGGTCATCTTTGATGCCTCACCTCCACTCACACTGTAGATCTAGTCAACTGACTCTTGTCATTGTTATCTCCACAACCCTTCTCACCTCCATTCCTTTCTTTCCACTTTGTTGCCCAGCACCTCAATTAAGGCCCTCATCACCTCTTACCTGGACTATCGCAAAAGTCTCCTATTTGGTGTCCCTGCCACAAATCTCTCTCCATGCCAATTCAACCTCCATACATATATCAAAGTGCTTTCCTAAATAAACTCCAGTGGTTCCCTACTACCTCTAGGATCAAATATAAACTTCTCTGTTCAGGCATTTAAAGCCCTTCACAGACCGGCCCCTTTCTACCTTTCCAAACTTATTATACATCACTCTCCTCTAGGCATTCTATGTCTCTGCCAGATTGGCCATCTTACTATTCCTCACACACAATGCCCTCTCTCCTCATGTCTGCCTCATGGAATCCCTGGCTTCCTTTGAGATTCAGTTCACATATGACCACCTTCAAGAGAGAGGATTCTCAGTCCCTTCAACGGCTAGTGCTCTCACTATCAGGTTCCCTTAAATGAGTTTGTATGTAACTCTGTTACATCTCCAATCACTCTGATCTATATCTGGCCACTGGATCCAGACGGCTCCAGAGGAGAGAGTGAGGCTGGTGACTTTGCATAGTCCTGCCTCACTTAAATCCCATTCACGTGCAAGTCACGGCATCACCTCCTGGATGTCATGGTCCTCTTCAAGAATGAAGGACAAACAACAACAATGATTCTATACATGCATATTGCCTCCTTCATTAGAATGTAAGTTCCTTGAGGGCAGGTACTGTCCAGCTTTTGTCTTTGTTTCTGGCACATCTAAGGAGCATAATAAATGCTCCAGGTGGGGACTGCTGCAAGTTCTGCCCTCAGGGACTAAGTCTATGGCCCCCTCTTCAATGCTTGTCTTCCATGACAACTTTGCAACATTTGACACTGGTTTTTCTCTCTTCCAAGGGAATATTTCCATGACACTACTCTTTTCCCAGTTCTCCTCCTCCCCCTCTAACCACTTTTGGCTCTGTTACCAAAGCTTGTCTTCTCCTTCCTACTCTCCAAGTGTGAATATTCCCCAAGATCTTTCGTTTGCCCCTCTTTTTTTTTCTTTTTTAACCTTTGTCCACAGAATCTCTGAGCTGGGAGGGAGTACAGAACCTCCAAAGCAGCCCAATCCACTTTGGATTAGAACTGTTTGTAAACTCTTCCTCTTATCACATCTCAATTTACATCTCTGCAGACTTCTGCTCTGAGTTCAGCCCTCTGGGGTGAAAGAAGCTGACAGCTCTTCAAATACTTGAAGACAGCTCTCCCATCCACCCTAAAGCTTTTCTCTTCTAGGCTAAATGGTTCCAGTTGAATCATTACATCCTTCTCTGGCTTGTTCTCCAGTCTTGCCCACCATCTTGGATATGTTTCACTTTGCCAATGCCCTTTCTCCAATGCAGAATCCACAGTTGGAAAACACATACCAGATGGGGTCTGAGCAGGGCAAAGGACAATGGAACCATCATTGCCTTTTCTCTGGACCAGTCAGAGGCTGGACTCTGGCATCTCCAGTTTTTCAAACTGGACTTTGGGCAAATGCTAGAAGGATCATGCATATGGAATATGGCTCCTAAGTCTGTCAGTTCAATTGAATATATTTCTACTAAGGCTTGCTGTGTGTCTGGCCTGTGGGGTGACATGTGGGGACAAATAAAGTTTGAAACTTTAAGATTTAGAGCTGGAGGAGACATTGGGAATCGTCTAACTTCAATCTTCTCATCTTATGGCCAAAAAAAATGCAGTAAGCTCAGAAAGATTAAGGGACTTGTTGAAAATCACTCATATAGGAATAGTAATAACAATAACAACTATGATAAATTAATAACTAGTATTTATATAGGCTTGAAGGTTTGTAAAGCACTTTATATGATAGTATCTATATAATACATGATTATATCATATATTAATAATTATATTCAATTATTAGCTATTTATGTTATATATTAAATATCATGTTATTTGATCCTCCTGACAATCCTGGGAGATAGGTGTTACTATTATACCTATTTTATAGATGAGAAAAATTAGGCTGAGGAAGGTTTAGTGACTTACCCAGGGTCATACAGCTAGTAAAGGTATGAGACCAGATTTGAACTCCTGACTCCAGGCTCAGCTCTCTATCCACTACACTACCTATTTTTTTGTTATTAAATATAACAAATGTTGTTAGAATTGAAAGATGATCCATAGCCCATTTCCTGGGAATGGAGATATTCTCCCTGGGTCTCTCAATCTGGTTCTATATAAGTGTAGCAGCCGTAGGGGCAGATCGAGCAGGGCAGAAAGATGCTGAGAATCAAAAAAAAAAAGTTCTTGAATCTTAAATCAAGCTGTAGAGGGCTTTTCCTTCAAATGAATTCAATAAAACAAACATTTATTAATTTTATATTATATTTTATATGCATATATAAATATAAAATATTAATATAGAATGTATAAAATATAAATATGTATTTATAATGTATAAATATAATTAATATGTACAATATAATTAATTACTAATTACTATATTTGAGGCATTGTATTGGTAATATAAAGAAAAAACATTAACAGTCCCTGCCCTCAAGAAACTTCCATTCCACTGGAGTGATGAGATGGCAAACACATGGATGAATAAATACATGATCATTTGAGGCAAGAGAGTCCTAACCAGGAGGGAGATAGGGCTGGGCTTCCTGGAGGAGGGGCAGTACTTGAGTGGGGCTAAGAAGGCAGCTTCCACAGGGCAGAAGTGAGAAGGAAGGACTTCCTGGCATTTCGGGTAGCCTCTGGAGATGGAAGATGGAATGCCAAGTTAAGGGAACAGGGAACAGACCAGCTTGGCTAGAATCTAGAATTGTGAAAAAAGAAGTAATAGGTGGGATAGCTAGATAGCGCAGTGGATGGAACACCGGCTCTGGAGGCAGAAGGGCCTGAGTTCAAATCTAGCCTCAGACACTTGACACTTGCTAGCTGTGTGACCCTGGGCAAGTCACTTAATCCTGGTTGCCTAGCAAAAAGGGGGGGGAGAAGTAATAGGGAATTCGCCTGGTTTTACTATGTTATGGAAATGCTTGTTTTATTTCTTAATTTCAGAATAAAAAAAAAACCCTATAAAGAAAAGTGGGAAATATACTGTGGAGGGCTTTGAATGCCATGCTGAAGGCTTTGTTCTTTTATCCTTCAGACAATAGGGACTGGGAAGGACTGGGCTAGACCAAGGTGCCACTGGCCACAAGGTCTAGCCTCAGAAATAAGCAGCACATCCTGACTTTGCAGCTCGCCTCTGGCCCAGAACTGGGAAAGGCTGTCTGCAGTATGTGGCTTGCCTGTTGCATCGTATGCCCGCTTACCTGCTGTCTCGTTGGCTTTTCCACAACTATGTAGGGCAGCTCAGGTGAGGCTCTGCCCTGGAAGGTGGCTTGGTGACCTGTCCTCTTTGCCCAGGCCTTCAAGCCCCCTCCAGGCAGATTCAAGGAATGGCTGGCAAATGTTCTGGGCAAACTTCGCTCCTCATCACTGCCCAGGTCCGAGGTGTCCAGGCTGAGTCTGGCGGGGAGAAGGCAGTGAGTTGTGGTGGGTCATGGACACCCTCCCTACTCTGCATCTGCGTAGCCATCAACCTCAGAGCTATAACTAGGGATTTTGGTATCTAGGGCAAGTACTGCAAACCATACCCTGGGCAAGTAGAATGTAATTCATACTTTGTCAAGGATGGAGGAGTTGGGGGAAGAAGGGAAGAGATTGCCAATGGACTCACTACCCTTTAGGAAATGAACAGTTTATCCCAGAGAGAAACATGCTGGTATCTCTTTCCCCGTACTGGCCCCACATGGGAATATTTGGCCAAATTTAGGGTCAGGAACATGGGCAGGGCCCAGCCAGGTGACGGATTGGGGTGGAGGTTTCTGTTGCCTATTTGGAGAGACTGCACAATTAAGGAGGGTAAGGAGGAAGTGGTAAGAGAGAAAACATGTCCAGTAGAGGACAAAGATCTGGACTTCCCTCTATCTTACTATCTGGGTGGTCTGCTTCAAGGCAAGTTAGGCTTTAACCCATTATGAGACGTTGAGATGGAGAGGAAGAAAATTGAGGAGATGAAGGACAGGGAGGAGAAGGAAGGGAAGGGAGAGAAGGGGGGTAAGGGAAGGGGAAGGAAGGAAGGAAAGAAAAGGGGAGGAAGGGAAGGAGACTGGGAGGGAACAAGGGTGAGGAAAGAAAGGAGAGGAGAGAAGGGAAAGTAGTAGATGAGAGAAGGGGAGAAAAAGAAAGGAAAAAAAATAAGAGAAGGAACCATGTCGTGGTTCTCGAAGAGGATTCCATGATTTTCAAGTGAATTGGATTTCAGTGAGGGAGGGCTGTGCAAAGTCACCAGCCTTACTTTCTCTTCCTGAGCCATCTGGATCTAGTGGCAAGAACAGATCAGGAAGACTGTAGATGGCCCAGGATGCAATGGGAGACCACAGCCCTTTTAAACTAAGGTCTTCTGTGGCAAGACCCATTCAGTGACTAGGGCTTTTTTGGAAGTGAGGCAAGGGAGGGCCCCTTTAATAAAAAAAAAAAATCAAACTGGGAGGGGAAGACCCTGAGGGTTTCTGGCCCAAAGAGATAATTTTTTTTAAACTTTTTACATTTTTACTTTCACTCTGAGCCAAGGGGCCCAAACCATAACCATTAAGTGGTGCTTGGGTAGAAACCCGTTGTTGGCCAACCCAATGAGAGTTAGAGTAGATTGGGTTTAAGGCATGGGCTTTAAGAAAGAATTTTAGCCAGTAAACCCCAAGATATCTAGGTAGATTTCAACCTTCAAAATTTACCTTCCTTTGGTAGCGCACCTTCAGGTAAGAGCATGATATCCTATGTGGGGAGAGGAGAAGAGAGGAGATAGGAAGCAGGGAAGGGGAGGACGGAAGAAAAAGAGAGAAAGAGAAAGGAGAGGAGAGGCGCTGCCCTACTGGAACTGGCCAGTTTGGATCTCAGGGGGGAGCTCAGAATACTCACGGGTCGTGGTTTGTCCTTTGTTCTGGAAGAGAACCATGACATCAGGCAGATGATGCCATGACTTGCACTGAATAGAATTTAAGTGAAGGAAGGCTGTGCAAAATCAATAGCCTCACTTTCTCCTCCATTGCCATCTGGGTCCAGTGGCCAGATATGAATCAGGATGAATGGAGATGGCCCTTGCCCTTTTTCTCCCCCCCAATTATTAAAGGGGCCATCCCTTGGCTCACTTTTTAAGCAGCCCTAATCAGTGAATGGGTGTTGCCTCAATCAAAGTGAGAACTCAGAAAGACCTTAGCTTAAAAAGGCCAAGGTCTCCTATTGCATCCTAGGCTATCTTCAGTTGTTCTGGTCTATATCTGGCCACTGGACCCAGATGGCTCCAGAGGAGAAACTGAGGCTGGTGACTCTGCACAGTCCTTCCTCACTTAAATCCAATTCACTTGCAAGTCATGGCATCATCTTCCTGATGTCATGGTCCTCCTCCAGAACGAAGGACAAACCACAACCTATGAAGAGAGGGAATGAGGAGAGAGGAAACAGAGAAGAAATGAATGACTCGGATTATCTGGTCAAGGTGCTCTCAGTCCCTTTCCCTCCGTGGTGGCAGTGATGAAGGTTGCCCTCCCAGCCCCACCTCACTCTGGTGATGCCTGACCTCCTTCCGACATCTAAGGGAGACAGAGGCCTCTCCCAGCTATGTCTCCGAGATGTGGTCATTGAATGGGCCAACATGGGAAAGGGCTCGGCTCCTCGAGCCTCAGGACAGAGGCCATTCGGGCTCTGAAGAAAGCAACCAGGTTCCTGGAGCTGCGGGGCTACAAGTTCCCCTGGTGGCTTCTCCTGTGAGCAAGAGGCCAGAGGGACCCATGATGTCATCTCCACAGGTGCTCCATAGCCCAGGTCTCTGTAGTACTCTGTACCCTGGAGAGCCATGTCTATTGACAGAAGGTCCTCAGTGCTGCTGTGGACATCTTCCAGCTCTGGCACAGAACCAGCCTCCTGCCAGAGAAAAAGAGAACTGTCACAAATCTGGCTGAGGCCTCGGTACCACCCCTGTCCCCTCAATCCCTGCAGCAACCCTCCCAGCCATTCTAGACCCTAGTCCCTTGGCCTGGGAGCAGCACTGGATTCTAGGATTTGAAGAGGGAGTCTTTCACCTGAGACACCATGGCACTGATAAACGTGGGACTTGCAGTCTGGAAGAGTCCAAATCCCACCTTAGTCACTTTCTACCTGTTTGAGTCTGAGCAAGTCACTGCGGGCAGCTAGGTAGTGGTACGGCAGATAGAGTGCCTGCTCTGGATTTGGGAAGACCTGAGTTCAAATTCAGCCTCAGACACTTACCAGCCATGTGACCCTGAGAAAGTCTCATAGCTATTTTCTACTCATTTTCCTTATCTATAAAATGGGGATGATGCTAGCACCTACCTCCAAGATTTGTGAGGATAAAATGTATGTAGAGCTCTGCGCACATCTTAAAAATCTTTTTAAAAAATTTTTATTTATTTTTAATTTATGGAATAAAACAAGCAATTCCATAACATAAGATAATAAAAAAATGATTGCATATGAAACTGCAAGTTCTATATAAATGCTAGTTATAATAATAAATTATCATTATCATTAATAATAATTATTATTATAAATGGCTCCCACAGTTTCCTTGGATCATAGATTTAGAATTAGAGGGAACCTTTGAGGTCACCAGTCCAACCTCCTCACTTTATAGAAGAGAAAACTGAGGCAGAGTTAAGTGACTTGCCCAAGGTCACACAGCTAGTAAGTATCTGAGGTCACATTTGAACTCAGCTCTTCTTGACTCGAGGCCTGGCATTCTATCCATTGTACCACCTAGTTGCCCTGTATGGATATTACATAGTGTATATATATATATACATACATATATAATGTATACAGGCTTAAATTAAGATATATGTACAACACTGTGCAGACTTAAATGAAAGACAAATGTGAGCTATCAATACAGATGTGTGAGCATGTACATATGACTATGCATGTGTGCATCTATCTACATAACCATGAATATGCAGACATGCAAGTATATTTACACACATGTGAATTACACGTGTTGTCTCTCCTGTGTGCACACGTGCTTATGTTTGCATGTGCTGTGACTATTGAATGTGTGGGTTTGTGAGGTCTGTGTGTCTGTTTGTGTCTGGGAATCTGCGCGTCCATGCAGAGCTGTTGTTTTTGCTGCCAGGGGATGAAGCGGTTTCCTGGTTTCCCAAATCCCCTGGACTCCTCTGGTTTTCATTTTCTTGGAAACATAAACATGTCAGGACATTGTGAACTCCTCTGCTGGAGGCCGGCGGAGCTTTGGCAACAAACAGGCCCAGGTTCCCTCCCACCCTCCAGTCTGGGCTACATCAGCCACAGAGCTGAGCCTAGAGCCTGGAGCCCAGATCTCAGCCCAGGCCAGAGTCTGGAGCTCAGAGGCAGTGCTCGGTGATCAGCCTAGAACCCAGAGCTCAAGTCCTCTGGCCTCACTCAACCTATAATTTTGGTTCTTGGTATAGAATAGAGCCCAAAGTTCTATACTGGGACTCAGAAGACCTCAGCTCTCCTGCTGACTTGCTAGAAAATCTGCTTATATCCTCGAGGGTGGCCGCTGTCTCACATTTATGCCCTTGCTTGGAATGCTGTCATCTCCGCCTCCTGGCTTCCTTCAAGTCTCCGCTAAAATCTCCCTCTGCAAGAAGCCTTTCCCTTATCCCCCTTAATGGGACTGCCTTCCCTCTGTAGATTACCTCTGATTTATCTTACACGTGTTGTCTCTCCATTCGACTGGGAGCTCCTTGAAGGCAGGGGCTGTCTTTTGTCTTTCTTTGTATCCCCAGTGCTTAGCACAGTGCCTGGCACTTAATATATCCTTTGATATTTGCCTGAATAACAATTCAATCAACACTTGGGCGATGGATCGTCTGTGATTAAGTACATCCTGGTCTCTTTCTGGGCCTCTGTTTCTGCCATTTGCAAAAATGGTGAGTTGGATTCAATGGTCTCTGAGGTCCTCCCCAACACTGGGAGGCTGCGATTGTCCAGTATAATGCAAGCTCCTCAAAGGTAAGAACTATTGTCTTTGTGTACCCAGCAACCAGCAACATGCTTGGCATATAGTAGATGTTTGGTAAGTTGAATTGATTTACTAGTTCTGTCCTTCCTGAAGGCCTGGCCCCAAAGACCCACATCGGTCCTAGGGCAGTGCCTAGGTTCAGAGGAGGCCAAATGCAGGTCAACACTAGGAGCTTATGGGTTAGCCCTGTTGGCGAGACAGCCCAGTGTGACCAGAGCAGTCCCAAAAGCAAGCCCTTTCCCTCACCCTCAGCTGCCTTTCTCTGACTCTCCTAGTCCCTAGAAAGCCTTCACTTTACCCGTCCTCTAGTCTATTTGCTTCCAGCCCCTCCAGGCACTTTCCAGCCCTGCCTCCCCCAGGCTCCCCCAGCTCCTCTCCAGCCTTTCAGAGCCTCTGCCGAGTCCTGGATAGCTCCAGATTCACAGCTCTTCTAGATTCCTCTAAAGCCTTTTTTCTTATTATCCCCTCAGACCCCAAAGCCAGAACAAAGCAAACCTCCCCTCTCTCCCTCTTCCTCCCCCTAACGGCCCCCCTGCCCTGTACTTGCCTGTTCCCCAGCCATGGCAGAGAAGAGGGCATGGCTGTCAGCTTTCAGGGACACTGGGAGGGAATGGGGGCTGCCATCCGAGGGGAGGTCACAGGCCTTGCCCTCAGAACCTGTGGATAGAGAAAGAGGAGTAGACGCTTTCAGTAGAGGAAGGAGCCTCAGAGGCTTCCGGGAGTGGAGAATTCTGGTTTGAGGACCCTTTTCAGATCTAAATCAATCATCCTCCGGCCTCCTCCCTCTGCCTCTGGCCATTGACACAGATTATCCCCAAGGCCTAGAATATGCTTCTTCCTGACCAGCTCAGGCACCACCTCCTCCTGGAAACCCTCCTTCCTTGCTGGACTACAACCTCTCCTATTTTCTACCACCTCCATTCTTTTTGCAGTTATTTGTGAATATGTCTTCCCTCCCCATTCCCATTCAATTATCAGCTTAGAACCATAGAATCACAGGGTTGGATGGGTCCTCAGAAGGCATCTAATCCTGTCCATGATGGAGCAGAGATCTCCTCTACAACAACCCTGACAAAAAGTCATCCAATTTCTGCTCAGAACCTCCAGACAGGACCCATACTTTCTCTGTCTCTTTTTTTTTAAGGCAATTGGGGTTCAGTGACTTACCCAGGGTCACACAGCTAGTAAATGTCAAGTGTTTGGTCTGAGGTCGGTTTTAGAACTCAGGTCCTCCTGACTCCAAGGCCAGAGCTCTATCCACTGTGCCACCTAGCTGCCCCTACTTTTTCTCTTTTTAATCTAGATGAAGTCTGCCTCTCTGCAGTCCCTTCTCCTCAGATACTTACTAGCTGTGTGACCCTGGGCAAGTCACTTAACTCTGCCTCAGTTTCCTCATCTGTAAAATGATGTGGAGAAGGAAGTGGCACATCACTCCAGTATCTTTGCCAAGAAAACCCGAAGTGGGGTCAAGGAGAGTCAGACAGGACTGAAATGATTGAACAACGACAACATTTTGGGTTTACTTTGAACTTGAAATGCCTGTGGGACATATAGGTGGAGAAATCTAATAGGCAATTGGACGTGAAAGACCAGAGCTCAGAGAAAATACGTGTGAAGGCTGGATCTGTAGATTTGGGAGTCACCAGACCTGTAGTTGTGGAGATGCATCACCGATAGGGAGTGTGGTAAGAGAGATGAGAAAAGGGCTTAGAACCTTGTGTGTGCCCAAGGTTAGTGAGGAGCGACATAGGTGCTGTTATTTCAAAAGAAACTGAGACGAGTAGCCAGACAGATAGGTAAGAAGACAACCAGCAGGATGCTCTCTGCAACCAGGAGGAAGGGAGAGTCAGTGGTGTTAAACCCCACCAAGAGGCTGACAGTTAGCTTTATTAGTAAAGAGATCTTTTTTGGCAACGTTAAAAAGAAAAAAAAATTTATAGATTTTAGAACTCTGATCAAAATAATGATAACCATGAGACAAAGAATGCTGCCTACCTCCTACCAGAGAAGGGATGGACTGAAAATGCAAAATGAGACACACGTTTTTGGCCATGGCCAATGTCTGTTTGGCTGGACTATGCACATCATTTATGAGGGTTTTGTTTTTCTTCATTTTATTGTTCAATGGAGGGAGGGTTAGGAGAGATAATACATGCTTGTTAAAAAAAAAAAGTAAAAAGTAATTTTTAAAAAGAGAGCATTGGTCACTTTAGAGAAAGTAATTTCAACAAACATGTCAAGTCAACATTTATTAAGTACTTATGGTGTGCCAGCCTCAGTGCTAGGCACTGGGAATGCAAATATAAGCAAAAAGAAAGACAGTCCCTGCCCTTGAGCAGCTTACATTCTAATGGGGAAAGACCACACACAAAAAGGGACTGAAAAGGGGAGGGATGGAGAAGACACCCAAGTAGGAGCTAGGTAGAGAAGTCCAGAGATTCAGGAGAGGAATGAAGGAATGAGTGTGGCTGGCCTGGGAACTTCTTCAAGGGGGGATATTTCAGGGCGAGAAGGCTTCTGGGATCTTGCAAAGTCTACAGAGTCAAAGAGTGGGAAGTGAGAAAGCGGAAATAAGAATTTTTCTAGGAATTAGATTGTGAAAAGGAGAGTTATAGCATGATAGCTTGAGGTGGCAGGGTCAAGTGATGTTTTTTTTTTTTTGCTTTGGCAATCAGGATTAAGTGACTTGCCCAGGGTCACACAGCTAATAAGTGTCAAGTGTCTGAGGCCGGATTTAAACTCAGGTCCTCCTGACTCCAGGGCCAGTGCTCTATCCACTGTGCAACCTACCTGCCCCTGAGTGATGACTTTTTTTTTAGACATGTTTTTAGGATACAAGAAAACAATCAGTGGATAGGGAGAGGTTGAATATTAGAGAGAGGGAATCATTGAAGAGGCAAGCTGCTAGAGGAGATGGGAAGAGATGAGATCAAGGGAATAGTAGAGGAGTCAATCTAGGTAAGGAAAAGGATCATGTCTTAAAGACTACAACAAAAGCGGAGAGAATGGGGCAAGCTGATGTTGATAGGATTTCAGGTGTAGAATTGAGGAGAAGAAGGTGCTGACAAGTAGTGGGTTTACTTTTTTCCAACAAAGTATCAGGAGATCCTTTTCTGAGAGGGAGTTAGGAAGGGGACGGGAGTTTGAGGAGAGGTCTGCTGAAGGGAGTGTGGTAGACAGTCAATCAGGAAGGAATAAAAGGATAATGAGGACCAGTTGAGATTAGATCACAAACTTGTTGTGGTCCCAATCAGAAATAGAGACTTAAAGAAAACTGCAGATGGGAGCGATCCCAGGTTCCCAATAAAGGTGTTTTTGCCCTGGGGCATTCTTCTACTGGCATTCCCTGATGCAGAACTCTCCCACGCCTTGAATCCACAGCATCCTGTGGTCATGGAGATCAAGGAGGGGAGATGATTCAGGTTAAATCCATGGTCTTAAACCTCTGGGTCGGGGAGTAGGAGCAGTCTGTCTGTGTTCTGGCCCTAGTAAAGATATTCTGAGGCAGAAGGAGAGGGGGACAAAGAAAAAGACAAAGGGGGATGGAAGGGAGGGAGAAGAGACAGATGAAAGGAAAATGAGAGAAGACAGAGACAAAGAGGGGAAGAAGAGGAAAAATAGAAAGACAGAAACTTCTGGCAGGGGAAAGAGCTTGAGATTGGACTCTGCAGTTAGTTAAGGAAAGGGAGGAGCCAGGATGTCCCCAGGGCAGGACCATGGAGAGAGGCCACTGTCCCTGGCTAGTCCAGCCCAGAAAGTCCCACAGAGGGATACAGAACTCACCCCTTGGGGCTTCACTGGCAGACCTAACCTAACCCCCATATATGGTGCCCCAGAACCCTGAGCCCAGCCGGCTCTGGAGGGCTGAGCAAAGCCTCCATCGGGGCTGCTGGCTTCCTTCTTCAGCCGGCCGCCTCCCAGCTAATAACATCATCACAATGCCTGCAATGTAAAGCAGCTCCATAGAGTTTACAATTTGCTATACAGAAGTTTCCTCATTTAATCCTCCCCAAACCCTTAAGTAGGAAGTAGGCAGGGCCAGAATTATTATCTCCATGTTGCAGATAAACAGATTGAGGCTCCGGCAGAGGACGTGTTTAGGATTTAGAAGAGATTGTGACAGAGCCGGAGCCAGTACTTGAACCCGGGTCTCCTGCCTTCCAGCGCAGGGAGCTTTCCACCCTAATAGTTACTTCCGAAGTCTAGTGTGGGGGTCTGAGGCAGACTGGGTATAACATCTCCTATTAAAACCCATTCTCTAAGTGGGGCCCTGAGGGCCATTGCCAGAACCTTGGTGGGAAACACTGATCTTCCTTAGCTGTTCCCTGAACTCAAATGGAGGGGGAAAGGGTGCTTCACATTAGCCTCAGTGGGAGCTATTAAAGCCAAGAACCCTGGGGAGTGGATTGCTGCGGGGTTGGGTGAGTGGGGACATAGTGGGGGAGGGAGGGAGAAGAGAGGCTGGAGAGAAAAAGAAATCACTGTTGGATGCCCGGTTAACTTTGGTCCTTGCCTCACTGTCCCCAAAACAGACTCTGAGTTTTCCCCATTTCCCACTTTGCTCCCTCAGCTTCACAGAGATATCCTTCCTATCCTCCTCTGCCTTCTTCATGAAGCTGTGTCCCCCACCCCCACCCCACCATCCCTTCCCAAAGTTCAGGGAGGCCCGCCACCCCACAGAGGCTGCCTTCACCCTAACCTCCCTGAGTACACTTGCAGCTGGAAACCATAAATGGGTATTGTTAGCACAACTGTTCCCCAGCCTGGAAGGGGGAGGTTCTTTTAAATCCATAAGCTAGGATAGACCTGGGGGGTGGGGCTCGATGGGCTGCAAGGAGGGTGGGCCATATAGACCTAGGGGGAGACCACTGCCCTCATTTGCCTCTCATGGAGGGACTCCTTTCAGCAGACACCAGAACTCCATCACTGATTAGGGCTCAGCTCATCAGCCTCACCTGCCAGAGAAGGGCTAGCTGAGCACACCAGCGAGGCTAGAAATGTGTTTATAGTGGGAAGGAAAGGACCAGAAGGAGAAAGTGGAGTCCTTTAGAAAGCAGATTGGGAATGCTGCAAAGCATTACCTATTCATCCTGCTAACTCAATCCAGGTTAGTTCCAAGGTTAGAACACAGTATTATTGAGAAAAAGGGTCCAGGTTGTATATTCATAGTATCGGGAAGCTTCCCTCTTTTTCCCTGGTCCTAGGCTGAGCCCCAACCCCAAACTGGGATGAAGGGCCCGGATATTTGAAACTGATGCTCTCCAGGGGACCATCGAGGCTTCCCAATTCCTCTTCAACATCAGACATAGAATAAAGGGACTGTGGGTTAAGGGGAGAGCTGCTAGGTGTATCTCTGCGGTGATAGTTGATTCCTATTCCTGGTCTACGCCCATCCTCACCCCCAATTCCATCCCTATTTCTGATCATCTCTGTCCGAAACCAATCCTCGGCACCACGTCTCCAGTGTAGTCCCCATTTCTATTTGTAACCCTGCCTCGACCTCCCAACTCCATCCCTATCAGATTCATTCTAATTCCTAACCCCCTTCTCCATATCTCTGCCCTGTTCTAGTCAGCATGATGTAATAGATAGGGTACTGGATTTGGACCCAGGAAGATCTGGATTCAAATCCCACTTCAAAGATTTACTAGATGTGT